TCGGACAGCTGAACCCATCAAACATGATTGGAATGGTGGAGTACAGAGAGAATACAGAAGATGACAAGAAAACTACATGTGTAAGTTCATTTTCAAGCAGACTTGTGTGTGCAGGGGTAATTTTCTGCAATGAAGGGAGAGGAGTAGGAGTGCTGAGTGAACCCAATACTAAACCTTTGCTATATGAGCTTTTAAGTGCTGGAATTTCTCAAAGGTCCTTCCTTGACCTCCTGTCTTCTCACTGTATACTGTACCTAAGCAACTTAATTATACCCATGACATTAATAAATCAATTACCATCTGCACTAGTCAGCGTTCTTCAGAGAAACAGAACCAGCTTGAGTATTAGAATACATATATACATATGTATATTATATAGTATTTGTATGTAGATATATACTTGTACATATAGTAATATACATATATAAATGTATATACATGTTATTTGTATATATAGTAATATATGTATATATACATATGTTGTACATACAAATATATATACACATATATACATATATATGCACACACACATATACATCTCTCATTTTATCAAATTTTTTTCATCTTTACCAACACCACTGTTATGCAAGCTATCATAATCTCTACTCTGGATTACTGTGACAGTCTTCTAACTGCTCTTATTCTCTCTAGTGTGAGCTCCTAAGGAGTGGCCAAGGTTCTCAGTGTATCTTAAAAAAAAACTGTGCAAGACACCACTTCCTTCCTTTTCTCTCCAGATGCATCATGATGTTATGTCTCCATCTTGCAATGCCCAGAACCCCATCCTCATCCTCTGAGTTCGGAGTACAGTAACATTCTCTCAGTCGCTCAACCATCTACGCACCTTCCACTCAAGAGTGCTACCTGGACAACTGACATCATTCTCGCCCCAAGCCTCATTCCCACTGGCCTGATTGCCAAACGTCAATTCATCAGAGAAACCTTTTCTGAACCCCAAGTCCTAGCAGGTCATCTCGCAGAATGTGATGTGTTTTAAAGGCAGGCAGATTTTTGTGATGGTTTGATTAGTATCAGAGTCCCCCACTATCTTGGAGGCTCACTAAGGGTAGGGTCTTTGTTGTTCAGTTTCATTCAAACAGCAAGTACTTTAAAAATATTTAATGAGTTTTAAACATATTTTTATTTCTTTTAATCTCATGTTTTAAAAATTCCATTGCAAGTTGCTACCAAGAAGAGTATCTTTTGATTCTGATATTGTTCATTTACTCTTCTTTTGTCACCATCTCTGTGAATGAAATTGAACATGGATTTGATATAATTGGACAATTGCTCTGTTTTTATTATTTAAATGAAAAATCCTTTCACACAGGTCAGTTAACTCATAGTTTTTGCTAACTCCTACTGCTGCATTTTTCTCAGTAATTCTTAAGTGAGAATCATGGTAGCATCACCAATCCCTTTATGAAAAGCAAGGATATTCTTATGACTAGTAAGAGGTTGGTGCAAAAGTAATTGACGTTTGAGAGAAATGGCAAAAACCACACTGACTTTTGCACCAATGTAATAAAAAGCAATTTATAAAACAGCCATAACAATATATGTAAAAAATTGTCATTTAAAGATTTACTGTTATATATTGAAACATAACTTGGAAAGTTTCCAGATTTGGTTTCAAAAACAACAACAAAAAAATATAACTATCACATGAACCCATTTTCATTTTTTCCAACTCTTGTCCTCTACAGATTCAATCACATGGCTTAAATATTGACCTCTAAACTAGTCAGCCACTTTATCAGATTTACCTTTACAACTTAGGCAATAACTAGTCTTCAAAATAAATATAAATAAAATAAAATAAAGTTTCCAATGATGTTCTTGGAGCAACTAAGTCTTCTCATTCTGTCTGCACAGGTCTTTTCTATAAGTTCAGTAGCATTTCTGTTGTAGAAAAGGCACAACTTATTGAATTGTCACAACCACTCACTTCCATCAAACTTAGCAGAGTGGAGCATATTCATAGAGAAAAAACATAGGTGTCTGGTTCTGATTAATGGTGCAGTTTTAGAATACATCTGCCATCATATATGCAAACACAAGGCATGGATAAAAGCAGTTATACAATAAGACACAATAATTATATCTAGGGCTAACTTCTATACAGTGGAAATTCTGTATAACAAAGAGTTCTTCCAAAAATGTACCCAGGCACAGGCATAAATACACTGTACAAATTCTTCACATTTAACCTGGATATAATAAAATTTGAAGATGACCAACAGAATTATGTATTCCTTTGTTATTTAAATATCTGAACGTGTAATATTTCTTGGTCAGTTTCAGGTAAAAAAAACTATACTAATAATGTGTTTTAAATATGACATAATGATCTGAGAAAAAACTGTAGCATATTTTAATAAAACTTTCTATTTACAATGCTAATCCATTAACACTGAAGTGTTTGGCTCCAAAAATTCAGGATCTTTTATTGCTGAAGGGTAATCACTACAGGGGAAAATCATGACACCCAGTGGCCAAAGACTTTCAATGCTGCATAAATTCTTGTGTCCTCTGTTCTTTATCACACTCAAATTAATTTATTGATAAACTAAATCGCTTGTGTATTAAAATATGTATGACTGAAATATATAATGTGTTCATGAATGCTTTTATATTTTCACATGCATACATTAAAATTATTTCTGTAATTTGAAAACTGCAGATGCTAATGTGGTTTGTGTGGATATATGACGCCTGCCTCAACATAACCATATGAACATATGTCTTAAACACATATATTCATTTACAAAGAATCTCCTATTCTATACTTATGATTAGAACACATTCTGTGCTAGCCCATGTTTTTTCCTTTTAAGAAAAACCCTCAAAGGAAAATAAAATGAATTATTTTACTAGCTGAGCTAATAATGGATATCGATCTTATTTATATCAATATATTAAGGAGGGCATTGCATGATAAGAAGGAGGTCTTTACAACAGGTAAGTTTATTTATATCTGTGCTGCTTCCCTTTCATTGGCCAATTTTACTTATTTCCCTCTTTTATTTAATTACTATTACAAACCTGGGAAGCAATATTAGTGGTGAAAGATAAGTTCAATTTCCAACCTTGTCACATAATTAATTTGTAAGTTTCAGCAAGTTCTTTAAGCTCCTGAAATTTAAGTATCTTTATGTTAAAGGAGATTATTCTTTATTTGAAATATAAAAAAATAATTCCAACCTATTCCCTTCGAAGATTATCTACCCTATGTATATACATTTATATATCTATATAATGGGTAGCACTGAGATTGCAGGTGTTTTTTTTTTTTTTTTTTT